AGCGAGGCCTCAGAGAGAAGGATGCCATAAGGTAAAAGGGCAGTTCATCTTTCTCTGCCTACAGTTCTCCCTTCCCGTCACCAGGGGGCAGCCCTGATTCACTTATTTGTGTTCAAACACATTACCCAGCCCACAGTCCATAAAGACAACGAAGCTGAGTGAATGTAAAACAATCCGAAAAGGCTGTGTGTGCATTGGGGGTCTGGGGAGCAAGATCAGTGCAATATGAGTAGACCTGGGAAATGAGTCAAAAGACTAGACATAGGTTGAATGAGATTCAGTGTAGTTACTAATACTGGGGTACAAATTTGGTTGAGTCTCCTGTTGGCCACAGCAAAAATAGAACAGTTCACTAGGTCATCCGCCTAGAGCTTGCACATATGATACAAAAGGATTCTGTGGTTGGGTATAGCTCAGTGATAGAGCATATACTTAGCATGCACAAGGTCCTGGGTTCAATCTCCAGCACCTCCATTTTTTAAAAAAAGTACAGTAAAAAAGGGTCTGTTTCTTGATAAATAAATGATTTCACAGCAATGAAAATAATATTAACCCACATCTTTTTAACACTCACCATGTGCCAAGTCCCTGACATCTGGCAGGAAGTTGCCAGATGAGATGAATGTGGCTTAGAGAAGCAGGAAGTTTTCTAAGACCAAACATCCAGGGGTTGGAATAAACATTTGAATCATATTCCTTTACTCAACTCCTCAGGTATTTACTAAGCACCAACTATGTGCTAGGTATTGTTGCAGGAGAACAAAATAGATACATTTTTTACATTCTAGTAGGGAGAGAAACGCAAGAAATGAAAGATGTGTATATGACAGGTGCTGCAAGAAAGCAAGTTCAGGAGGCCAGGAGTGATGGGGACGCTCTCGGAGGTTAGGTGGTCAGGGACAGTCTCTTTGCGGAAGTGGCATTTGAGCAGAGACCTGGAGGAAGTGATGGGTGAGCCATATAAGGGCGTAGATGAAGAGCGAAGTCCCAGGGTAAGCAATCTTTGGCACATCTGGGTGATGGCTAGGAAGCTAGTGTGGCAGGAACCCAGAGAGTGAGGGGCAGCATTTTTGGAGAGATCAGTGATGTGAAGGTGGGGCCAGAGGAACCTGGGAGGTCAGTGGAAGCTTTTGAATTTTACCCTGAGTGAAGTGGGAAACCTTTAACAGGCATGAACAGAGGAGAGACCTGGTCTGACTTAGATTTTTAACAGGACCACAATGGCTGCTGCGTGGAGAAACGCCTGAAGACGGGCAGGAGTGGATACAGAGAAATCTATTTGGAGATCTCTCTTGGCCAGGCTGTGATGCCCAGTTGTTTGGTCAAACACCAGTCCAGATGTTGCTGGGAAGATATTTTTTCAGATGTGATTCACATTTACAATCAGTGGAGTTTAAGTGAATCATGTCTTTGGGCTTCATCCAATCAGATGAAGGCCTTAGAGCAAAGACTGACGTTTTTGAAGAAGGAATTCTGCCTCCAGACGGCAACACAGAAACCCTGAGTGAGTTTCCCACATGCTGGCTTGTCCTGCAAATTACAGACTCACAACTGGATCTGAATTTTCAGCCTGCCCACCTGCCCTACTCCACACCAGGAGACCCCCACGTCAGCCCCAAGAATTGAGTGAGCCAATCCTTTAAAATAAATCTAGGTAGATAGACACAGAGAGAGAGAGGAGAAGGAAGGGAGGAAGGGAGGGAGGAAGGAAGGAAGGAAGGAAGGAAGGGAAGGAGGGAGGAAGGATGGAATATATACAGATATATAAGAGGGTAGGATTTCTGTATGTCCTGTATTGGTTCTGTTTCTCCAGAGAATTCTAACACAAGGCTGTTGCAATAATCCATGACTCCAATGATCAGTGATGATTGCTTGGACCTCAGTGGTAGCAAAGGAGATGGTGAGATATGGTTGGAGTCTAGAAATATTTTGAAGAGAAAGCCAGTTGGATTTGCTAACAAATTGAATTTGGCAATTAAAACAGAGAGTGGTATCAAGGATGCTGCCCAGATTTGTGACCTGAGCAACTGGGTGAGTGGTAGTGCCCTCAGCTGTTATGGGAGATGCTGAAGCAGTGGGTGAATGAGTCTGGAACTGAGGGGAGAGGTCAGGTTAGAGAGTGAACAGGGTCCTGCTGGCATTAAAGTCCTTGAGGCTAGGTAAGATCCCCCTGGGAGACGACGACAGACAGAGAAAAGTGGTCCCAGGGCTGAGCCTGGGATACTCTAAGCTCTAGCGGTCAAGAAGAGAAAGAAAAGACAACAAAGGAAACTGAAAAGATGGGCTGATGAAATCTGGAAAGCGTGTGTCCCAGAAACCAAGTGGAGAAAGTGCTTTTTTCCCCAGGAAGGATGGAATGATCAGCTGTGACCAACGCTGCCAGGGAAATGGTCAGTTTAGGGGCAGGGAGGGGCCGTGGCGGGGGGCACTGGGCAGGAAGTCCAGTGCGGAGAGAGAAGCAGCCGGACACACACAGGCAACCTGTCACCCACTCTGCCTCCGTGTCTGAGGCTTCCACACAGAGACAGAATCCAGGCTGGCATGACAGTCACTTCCCATGTCCCACAGGAAGGCAGTGCCCTGAGAAACATTAACAC